AAGACTCTCAGCTGAATGTCTTGCAAGAAAGAAAAACAAACAATACAATACGCAACAAAAATTGAAGGAACGAAATGAATAAAGAAATGGAATAAATACAGTAAATGGATTGGATTGGATTGGATTGGATTGGATTGAAATGAAATGAAACTCTTCAAATACTAACAATCCTTCAAGGCAACATCTCTTTGTATTCAATTTGGCATACATCACTTCAGTGATTCTTCAGCGCACGTCAACCCGGTGAAGGGGCCTTCCGCAAGGACACCACCTTCAAGCCGGTCTGGTCCGTCTGGCCCGTCTGGCTGCCTTCTTTGCCCTTCGGTTGGACACTTGGCTCTGCGACCTTCTCAGGCTCGTTGGGCTCTGCCTTCACCTGATGAAACCGAGGCTTTCACCATGGCTTCACCGAAGCCAGCAAAGCACGGAAACCCAACAGCTTGCAACAAAACAGCCCAAACCCATCCGAACACCATGCAGAAACACCCAAATCCACACCAAACCAAAAAACAAAAACAGAAAACAACACGAAACGAACCACTCCAAGCTGAACCCAACGAAACACTCCATAATCACCTCCATCCCCACCTTCTGAGGCAGGATCGCCGCCTTCCCAGCCGAGCCCTGTGCCGAGACCGGCCGCGCGCCGCCGGCGCCGCCCGCGGCGCCCGTGGGGCGGCTGAAGACGGTCTGCGGTCGCAGGATGGGCCGAACCGGGCGCAGGATGGGCCTCGCGACGCAAAAAGACTTATCACAAAGTCTCTTGTAGCAGAGTCCTTTTTCGAGATGTTTTTGGATCTTCCGCCTGGCCACTGCTTTGATGGGAACTGGCCCAGTGCCTTGGAGGTTCTGAACGAAATTGTGAGTCGTGTTGATTCAGGAACGACTTCAGATGATCTGTCCCACCTGCAGATGTCGCACTCCGCAAATTGCACGCGTTTGGGGAACACATATCACATGCACGTGATTGCGTCCGACTCAGGCCCTTACCACGCTGAGCCCAGGCTGGCCTGATGCGCGACAGGGGTGTGTGTGTGTGTGTGTCCACCCCTGGAAAAAGGGCTCCTTTCACCATTTCCATCAAGCAGGGGATGGAGACACCTGTATTGCTTCTCCATCAACGAAGCTGGCAATACATGGTGAGGATATCAGTTCCGGACGCGGAACTGACGTACCTGCTTTCAACACAATGACTCCACTGGTCCACCCTGCCGCTGTTCGTTGTTTTCATGGTCCTTCATGCTACCACCCCCAAACCCACCGCAGCCTTACAGCCGACTTGCAGCCGCGCTGAGTGTCCGATCGTCTTTTCGAGTGCCACTGCAAACAAAGTTAAACCATACTGTTTTCACTGACCTTTGCGCCCTGCGGTTCTTCGCCTTTCTTACCAACGTGATACTTGCATTAACTGAAAATCCAAGTTCGAAGTGTGTAACCCTTTGAGTCACAAGGAATCCGTTGATTTGTGGTTGTTAACTTTAGATGTAGGCAGGGGGCTTTCGGAGCCTGCATGAGACGAGAGCCGACGAAGACGCTCACGCAGTGCTTGTGCAAACGTACCTGCTATTGACCGCGCCTGGGCATCCAAGTGCAGCTGGTGGGTCACGCGCCGTTATTGTCCCTGCCTGTAATTGGAATAAGTCTTCCAGCCATTGCAGCGGCTCACCATTTTGCAGATGAGTACGATCGCCGTCATTTCACCCTGCTCGTCGCACCGCTACCTTTTGGGCTTTGGACCTCTTGGCCTCCTTTGACTGAAGATGCTCACACCCCCCTTGCATGGTTTCTCAGCAATATGGTTACCTAGGTTGCCGCGTGGCGAGTGGCATTCAGCTCAGCGCATTTTCTCAAGTGCGCGTGAAAGCCCAGGTTGTACCCGAGGAGTGTCGCCTGTGGCCCCGTTGAACGGGGTTTGTCTCGGTTCCCCCATCTTGAGAACGTACGCGTCCGCAGCGGACGGACTAAATGCACTTCCATCATTTTTTAGCGCCCAACTCAGTCTACATCCATCTCCAACACCTCCACAACCTCACTGCCAGACTCCTCCGCCAGCTTCAAGAATACCTAGGCGACCAAGTGGTACTACACCATGCAGACCACGAACTCCAGCAACTCCGCATTTTCTGCTTCCAGCAATACTTCCACGGCGCCCTCACCACCTGGCAGTCACCGGAACTTTTCCAACCCATGCTCCACCTCACACCTGACAATCTTACCGATCATCTTCAGGCCACCATCCCAGCCACCCTGCGCACACGATACAAGCGGGGCTCCCGCAAAGCCCGCAAAGCCTTCGCGATCCCTTATGGCATCGTCCACCTCAAGGAGAAGAAACAGTGGCGCAAGGGGCGTGCCATTATTTCCTACTACCACTCCCTGGCAGGCAACCTTTTCCGGATCACCACGAGCCGAGCCCTTGACATCATCCTCCAACATCTTTACCCCCAACACCGGGACAACTCTCCATTCCACGGCTCTTGGCAAATGTTCCACCAGACATTGCCTTATACGCAACCAACGATGACCTGGTCGGTTTCTTCAACTCAGTGCCGCAACACCGTCTCATTGACGCGGTACACAGCCTCATCCACCATTGGCAGCAACAACATTCCACAGAGACCCTCACCATCGACCTTGTCGCCACAGGAAAGCCTTTTCACAATTCCAATATTGGACGACATCATCGCCAACACCCCACCCAACGCACTCTTCACGTCACCGACATTCCCACCATCGTGTCCTTTGCTTTGGACACCTGCATTTTCCGGGCCGGCATCCACACTTACAAGCAAATTCGTGGCGCTGGGATTGGCTCCCAGCTGTCACAGGCCCTCTGCAACGTTACCATCACCCTCATTGAGCATGCTTGGCACCAACTACACAACAATCTCCTCAACCACACCCATCTCCACTTCACCTACTACCGCTATGTGGACAATCGCTTCATCACCCACAACGAACACTTTTTACACCACCCAGCCATCCAAACCCTCATACACCAAGACTTTTTCGGTGACCCAGTCGAGCTCGAACCTGCGGATGATTGCCATCTTCTCGGCTTCAACATTGACCTCACCACCCGTACAATCACGTATGTTCAACCCTCCCACCCATGGAAGATCCGTGATGCTACTTCCGCCGGTAGCCAGCGCTTGTGCCTTTCCGGCCTAGCATCAGAATCCATACAATACACAAGTACACCTACCCTCCATCCGCAGCCACCACAGCAGTCCACCACCTCATCAACCTCTACCTGGCCAAGGGGCACCCGGCAGACGCCTGCCGACGGTTTTGAAAGGAAAACAGTCTCTTGCTAGCGCGCACCGCAATGCGGCGATTTGTGTGTGTGTGTGTCCCACCCTGCGCCTAACGGTTTTTTTCAAAGCAAGGGGTGGCAAGAACGAGAGTCTGCCACCAACGAAGACACTCTCGGTTTCCTGGTGATACTGGGACTGATCATCCCAGCGTACCTGCCTCGAACACAATGACACCACTGGTCCGCCCTCCGCTGTCTTTTTTGCTTCCGTGGTGTTTTTTCATGATAAACCTCCAAACCACTTTCCCGCAGATTTGCAGCCGCTTTGCAGCAGATTTTGCGCGATTGAAAAAATTTGTTCAGACATCTTCAAGCGCACGGACTTCTCACCTTACCGTTCCAGCATTCATTTCTACGTGGACTCTCTCACTGAATGAAACCTATCGAAGTGTGTGTTCATCTCAGGATGGTAAGGTGTGGATTTGTGGATTTGCAGCTTGGCACAGAAAACCACGTTGGTATACAGAAGTTCTTGTCTTCTCGAAGCCTGTGGGTGTCCAATGTTTACAAGTGTGCACCGCTGCACGAATTCCAAGTAAACACCAGGTTGTTGTACGCTGTTGTACCACCCAATTATCAGTTGACCAGGGATGGTCACCCGCCGATGCCGAAGTCCTTGGATGTCACGAAATCGCACACGTCCGTTTCGGCCGACGCCTGGGTGGCGTGAAGCCCGGACGATTCAGAACCATCGCTGACGGTGCAGTGTCTCCTCCCGTGTTTCGGTCCGTCAAAATGGCTAGCCGCTGGCCATGAAGGCAGCAAACATTCGATGCTGTTCACCACAGCTTCATCAAATGGACTACGCATGTCTGACAAACCAAAATGCTCGGTTCGCTGGTGAGTGTTCGCTGAGTGTGGCGATTCAGCGATACGGCTCATGGGTCTTCGAACTTTCATGAATTGAAACGAAAAAGTCCGACCGTGAGACTAGAAACTGCGGTGAGCCGAGAAGGCGTCCGGAGCGCGCGGCTCGTCCAAAAGTCGGTTTGTGGCACTCAGGGCATCGATGTCGCTCTAAAGACTCTAAAGGGATCAAAGAGACTCTTCGAGGTTTCAAGGTTCCGAGCAGCCAAACCTTAGACCTTAGCAGCAGAGATTGGATGAAAAGGCCGCGATGTCAGAACCCCACCTCGTGGCTCTCTCGGCCTGAAAGCGGACCCGGACGCCCGACCCCAACGGATCAACGGGATCCGGGGTCGTCCGGATCCTAGGAGCCCTGCCCCGTTAGCGTTCTCCTCGATGACGCGGTTGGTACTTGGGAATCATTGAGGGCGGCATCAGATTGCAAGTTTAGACCAACTGCAATCAGTACTCAGATGACAGCATAAGATCTCCTTGGCACTCAAAAAGCATCTGAAGAGGACTGCGAATCGGTGTTCACATGTTCGCAATCTAGTGCTTTTAGGCCAAAAGGCTGAATGACAAGTCTGGAGAAGCAATCACAAAAGGGAAAGGGCTTTCCGCCCAGACAACATTCAAGGAACTAAAATTGAAGTTTAGGAGCTGTACAACTTCAAAGAGGAGACTTCCTCACAAGCTGTGAAAAGAGAATGTCCCAGTTGTGAAAGTTCCATTTAATGTATTTTAATTCTAATTTGTTACTACTAGCGTGGCACTTGTTACTACTAGCAAGGATGTCTGTTTCAAAGCGAAAACCATCATTGAATTCGCCCTTCCTTTCCCCCGCCTCCCTGGCGCTCAGTCTGACGTGACCGGCGACTGGGCACGTGGGCAGATGTTTATTGGTCTCATAACGGCTGGCCTCCAACCTAATAGCGATGGCCTCCACCCTAGTACCGATGGCCTCCACCCTAATAGCGGTCAATGAAAATGAAGGATCGTTCTTTGGATGATCATCCAAGAATCTTGTTCAGACCCATTCTGTGACAAAGTGACAAAGCCAGAGTGCGCCTCATGCATAGGAGGCATCTCAACGTGAAGACCACCTGCATCGGGTACAAGAGGAAATTGCATCTTCTCAATTTTAAGGCACAATTGGTGTTCTCGTGACTTTGAAAGGGAATTCACTGAAAGGCAACACCTTCTTTTTTAGCCAGCTCCTACTTAATTCAGTAGGCGCCTATTTAATTAAGGAAGGGGCAACTAGTTCGCTTCGGACGCAGGACAGCTCACGCTCGCACTAATGATTTGGCTTCTAGATTTCTGGGGTGACCACAGCAGGTTTCTTGTTACTAGTGGCAAAAATGTTACTAGTAGTAGTGCCCTTAGTAGCTTCTTGCTCCTAGTAGTAAGGCCAGGAGCGCCCCTAGTACCGTCCTTGCTACTAGTAGCGATGCCCTTTGCTACGAACGTAGCTATCGGGTGACCACATCAGGCCCGTATGATGCACGAATGATGCACTCCCAGCCACTGCCGAGCAGCACGCCCCGATGCAACGGCACCTCGTACCGGTGACACGACGGCACCGCCGAATCAAGCCGACTCAAAACATCACTCGCCTTGCCCCCAAAAGATCATTCACTACACAAACCGTCAGACTTCAGTGTCAAGGCTCTACTTATCTCACAGTGCCACAATCTCAATGCACCTGAGACCGTGGG